TTTTTTTTTTTTTTTTGAATTTGCCAACAAGGCAAATGGCAATATAGGTAGATTTGTAATAGTTGTCAAGATCAGTGTTTTAAAGACTTTCTTGGGACTTGTATCGGGACTCGCTCCGAGGCGGGGGCCACCTGCCAAGGTTCGTGTGGTTTAGTTCTGTGAGAGTATGTCTCAAGCAGCCCAACTATGCGTCCCATATACCGCTAACACTCAATGTTCGTGGCTCGCTTAATAATTTCTAGCGCAAATTATGCATTAAATTTTCTAATTAGCATTGTTGACTCTTAGAATTCTTTAATAAATGAATGATTAAATTTATATTTATACAAAAAATACTAGATATTTTATTTTTGTCAGTTATTAAATTTTTTAAATTTTCTTTAAATTTTCATGTACTTTAAATATTTTTTTACGGTTATTATGTTATTTTATTAATTAAAAAATTTAAAGATCGATGGGGCTTACTCCACGTCCCGCGTTAAATAAAATGTCCCGTCTCACACGCGCGCCTTTTAAAACACTAGTTAAGATTCACCAAATAATTAAAAATAAAAGCAGCTTGGTAGAATAGGCTGTAAGCTAAACCTAATTAAACAATTTTAAAGGAAGCAAATGAGAAATTGCTGTGCCTAAAAAAACGAAAATAATTGCAAAAAGCAAAGGAAAAGGGGGGAAAAGAGTGAATTATAATTAGATAAACAGTCAAAGCTCGAGGAAATGCGCTCCCACTTAGACCTTCATTAGGATTCAATAAAGAGAATTAGATTCTATATAGAAAACTGAAACGCTTGTAACTTTCAACTTTCTACAATCAGAAACTCAAGAAAGATAAAGGAATACTAAAGATGAAAAAGAGAAGGAAATTACTTTATAGAGCACAGTGTCTTAATTAAACAAATAATTGTAGGGTGGGGTAGAGTGAGTGAGGTGGGTGAGCTAGTACTCGCACGGGAGTAAAACTAAGTTAGGGATTTGAAGTTTATACAACACCAACAACAACTATCCAATATAATCCCACCAAGTGAGGTCTGGGGAGGGTAGGATGTAGGGAGACTGTTTCCGAATGCCCCTCGGCTAAAGAAGGTGAAGGAAGCCCTGATAGCAAGTGTATGATGAAGTCCTGCTAGCAAACTACGGAATTACTGAAGGTAAGTAGTAACAGAACAAGACACGCGACAATAGCAAACTAAGGAAAAAAGGGTATCATACTAGTACTAATACTATCGAAATAGGGAAGACAAAGGGAACCGCCCAACTACCTACTAATCTTCCATCCTAATCTTCTACCTCCACACCCTTCTATCTAGGGTCATATCCTCGGTCAGCTCAAGTTGCGATGTGTCCTGCCTGATCACTTCACCCCAAGACTTCTTAGGTCTATCTCTATCCCTCCTCTCACCTCCCAAGGCTAACCTCTCACATCTCCTGACTGGGGCATCTGTGATTCTCCTCTTAACATGCCCAAACCATCTCAACCTTGCCTCACGCATCTTTGCCTCCACAGAGGCCACTCCCACCTTGTCCCGAATAACTTCATTCCTAATTCTATCCAATCTAGTATGCCCATACATCCATCTCAACATCCTCATTTCTGCTACTTTCATATGCGGGATATGTGACTTTTTGACTGGCCAACACTCTGCCCCATACAACATAGTCGGTCTGACCACTACCTTGTAGAACTTACCCTTAAGTTTCAGCGGCACATTCTTATCACACAAGACACCGGAAGCGAGCCTCCACTTCGTCCATCCTACTCCGATACGGTGAGTAACATCCTCATTTATCTCCCCATTCATCTGAATTATAGATCCTAGATATTTGAAACTCTCTCTCTTGGGAATGACTTGTGTATCGAGTCTCACATCCCCGCCCGCCTCCTGGGTAATGCCACTGAACTTGCACTCCAAGTATTCTATCTTGGTCCTGCACAACTTGAAACTCTTAGACTCTAGAGTATGTCTCCAGACCTCCAGCCTTTGCTTAACGCCACCTCGCGTCTCATCAATCAGGACTATGTCATCCGCAAAAGAATTTGAAATTTATGAGTTTAGATTATGCACTTTTTAAATTACTGAGATCTAAATTAATAATTTATA